TTTTTTCTTTTTATGTGAAAGTATCATACCATTAAATAGCTGAATTTTCTATAAGTTTGATATTTTATTATTATGTACCCGTAGTAACTTGTGTCTTTTCCTGTTTGTAATTAGTTGGAAACAGAATGGTAGGGGGTGTAACTGGGAACAACAATAACAATAATAATGTGAATCCACCATTGGCTCCATGCACAAGAATATTAGCGATGAGTATGATCGGTGACCTTATGAGGAAAGTTGGAGTAAGTATTTTCTTTACTATATATATTAAAAGCGTTTTATATGTCGAGTACAGTTTGACATAAATTGAAATAGCTTGAAGCATGGCTTGTATCCCTTTAAATGTTTAGAGTTATTATCAGTTGCCGTAAATTATATTTTTTTGTACTAGGCAGCTGTGAATCACATGGCACAAATTTCTTTATTTTTTTTTTATTGTCAGTTTTGAGCACTAGATTAAAATGCATTTAAATGATTTGAAAACTAGTACATTAGTCTATGATATTGGTAGTGTGATGTAGCTGGTGTTTTGGTAGCTTGACAGGTGGGTCTGCATGGAGTGTAGGAGGGTAAAGTGCACTTGTCTGGGTGGGAAAAAAACAGTGTCCACTACACCCACTGATTTACCATCTGTCCAGGCTCATACACCTACTCAATGTATACGACAACAACCCAGATCAACCAAGTGCTGACCAAGCCTCCATGATATTTCACCGTTAAATTATTTTCCACATTCTTATGACACAGGTCTTTATGTAGATTGTTTTGCTTTGTATTTCGTTCTTTTATTGTACATACACGCTATTTTCCTGCTTTCCTGCCCAATTGTCCTACATGTAAGTAGTAACACTGATTGTAGATATACGTGTAATTTCTATGAGAACTGTACAAGTATGGACAGGTAGCAGAGACATATTTATAAAACCAATATGTATTAATAACAATTGTTTAATCAACACAGGCGTTGGAGAATAAGCTAAACACATGTCAAAATCCATCTCGAGAGGATCAAGCCGTCCGTGATCTCTACAGGTAACATTAGAGCAACGTTATAATGTTGAAAAATTACATCATTATTCCGTTACCTTTGTGCACTGCGTGTACTTGTAGTAAATGGTATCATGTATCAATATTTGCATTGTAACACATTTTTGTAACGAATTATCGATAATTATTTTCAACAATCAAAGAATTAATAAATTATTTTTAGTACAGCAGCGCCCTTTTATGAAAGGGCTCTTGATAAATTTATTATTGACAGTGATAAAAAATGATACATGATAATTGTTAAATTAAACGTACTTATTTAGTTTTATATTCACTCTTTTACATATGTAGTGCTTCCTGTGTGAATGCTAAAAACACAAATTTGTGTATAATCAAGGCCCCCAATGACCCCAGTTTCACTAGTGTTTTAGTCTCTGAAAGTTCAAAATATTTCATAAGACTGCATTACTTTTTGTATAGCCCGTCTTCTCGCTTGTGCTACTAATTTAGGTAGTGCAACCTTCTTTTTTTGCATTGCCTAAGGCGTCTTGCGTCCTAGTTGTTAGTACATCTCTGAGAGAAAGCGATCAAAATTAATCAGTACCACAATAGGAAATAAGTTGAAATTTTAAGATTTTGTATTAATTTTTTGAGTTCTTTTTAACGTGACTTAATACTTCCAGTTCCATAATCGTACTTTGTTATTCATCACATTTTAATATAGGTGTAGGTGAATATAGAATTGCATTTAATTGTTGAACTTACTTTTGTGATACAAAAAACGTTTCTTTTAGTTTAATAATACTTGACGCGGTCTCAATAATTTAAATTTGAAAATCTTTCTATTGTTAATAATAGGATTAATTAATAATAAGATTAAGAAAACTTGAAATGCTCAATACATAAAATTATTGATGAATTTATTACAAAGAATTATTGGGACCTTTGTTAATTTAGATTAATACTCGCTTGACCGTTCCATTTAATCTCTAAGTTAATTATTAGTACTTTATCTCAAGGATTATTGTATTTCACAGTTTAAATCGAATAATGATAATTACCTGACATTGTTTACCCACATCTACACAATGTTTCTGTCTGTTTAAAAGTGTCTCACTTTTTAAATGTAATTTAAGTACGTTTATGTTATTGTGAAGCTTTTGTGAATATTAGATTGAGCCAATAGTCTGTTGTAATGTTATAAATTTTTATAATTTCACTTTTGCTTATAAGGTGAAAAATCTGAATACGTGGCAATGTAATTGCATTTGTAAATAACATATATATGCATATTCAGAGTAATGGCTTGTGCAATGGTAATAATAGATGCATATTTGTTATAAAGCTTACATACGTACATTGAGATACTTGAATAACATTAACTGTTAGCTTATTACAACAATTATTATGATAATACTGATATCCTGAATGCGACTGGATAATTTATAGAAAAAATAATGGCTCGATCTATGTTATACATTTGAATGTTGACCTCTCATGCTTAAAATTTATGCTCCTGTAAACTTTCCATTTGTAAATTTATTTTTGAAATTCGAGAATTATGTTCTTAAAGAACTTCACATACAGCATCAAAGGGATCAACACTCATTGCGCGATACAACGTCAGTTGTTGCAATTTATAATGTTCTTCCTGCATGAGATGTATATGTCATTTTTATATCTTCTGTCAGTAATGTTCATTCTGTGTACACAATAAAACCATCCATTACATATGTATATGTATATATGTATATACATATATGTTTGGATTAGGTATTCTAAATTGCACAATATAGAACTTGTGTTTTGTCAGTTTCATGTAGTTCATGCATTAATATTAACTATTTAATGCAAATAAGGCTTACCTTGAAGAAGCAAGTATTATGAATTGCAAATTGTCGAGCATTCTTTTACTCGTCTCAATATGCATGTTGTACAGTCTATGCACAATTCATAAATGTGTACAGCATTTCTCAATCTTTTACTATGCTCTTAACATTGCAGCTACCTATGTGCAGTTTAAGGTATTAAACAAAATCGTAACAAGGTAGCAAAAATCTCAGCTGAACTCAGATGAATCTCAGATGTATACGTATATAGTACGCACTTATGAACAATAGAATGTGAAAAAACAATATTTGGACGATTGGGAAGCGCTGATCAACTTTATATCTATTCAATTCACAAATCACAATTATCAGTGTTCAGATGGTAACAAAAGAATATTGAATTTTTTAATTAGGACTAGGCGGCAGGTACGAGGCTTTGCCTCTGGCAACAGCAACCACATTCGATTATAAACAACGGATAATATAACAACAATACATTTTTACTTCGTACAACATACATGCTTCAATTCCTGTTAAATCGCTTTAATTCTGATTCAAATTTCAATTATTAATTTATTATGAGTTCATGGTTAAACGAAAATTTTTATTTCCATCACATTATTTATTATTTATGTTTAATAATTATTTAATTCCCCCGACGAAAATCAGCGAATTTTAGAAGTTATTATTTACTGTTTGTTATTATCGTAATTTAAAAATATGCTTAGCAATGATATGAATAAATTTTGTAAATATTCTGATATAAGTATAAAGTTGATGACGTGATAATTGTAGACGTGTAGTACATTTAAGTTCTGTAGATATTCACAGATGATATTAAGTAAATAATTTGTGAGCTCTTATTTCCAGTACATAATTTTAACACGATTAAATGTTTTGACACAATTTAGGAACATTGCGATACTGTAATATCCAGTGCAAATTTAGCTTCTAGAGTAAGTTAAGGTATATGTCTATTTTTAATAACAAATGAATTTTCTCCTGCATCGTAAAGTAGTTCAATTTTATACTTCAGACTGTAAAAGCTACAGGTACTAGACATTTTAATATAATTTATGTGCTTTCATGCCACTTGCATAATTTTAAATAGTTTCAGATCTCTGAATATTTATACAAAGTAGAAAACATACTAACACTGCTAATTAGAATGTATTATCTAATAAGGAGATTGTCAGTCCTTACTAGACTTCGCTTAAATGTATAAGAATAAAAATTATTCAAATGAAGTTTCAATTGTATCGTTAATACCAAACTGATTGTAAACTGGACTTTCAAATAATGCTGAAATCCAAATAATAGCAATTAATAGAATATTTATAACGTAAATTTGTAAAAGAAAATTGAAATATTTGTAAAATAAAAATATTGTAAACAATCTTCAAATTACTTGCATTCAAATTCTTCAAGTTTATTCTATCCATTAATTTGTAGAGTGGTGCTTACCTACAAGAGACAAAGGTAAGTTAACTTTATTTTGAAGATTTATTTATGAAACTTTTACCTTTACACGATGAGTACTTGTTGGTTGATTTCTATGTAATTTTCATACAACTGAAATTCTAGCATAGTAACACTACTTTGAATCCCTATAAAGAAACTGCCTTACTTTCTAATGCAGAGGGTTTTGCTATGTATTATACCAATAATCACAATGATGGTGTTACGTGCTGATATAATTACAAATACAATAATCAGATCAAAATGAAAAAAAGAATGGTCTTTTTATGTTTTAGAGTATTTGCAGATTTGTCTCTTTTTTTGTTGTTTTATTTAAATTTTTGTATGAATTTTTATTTTATAATTAGAGTGTAAAATGATAGAAAATGTGAATTAAGTTAAAAGACAAGAATTATCATCTGCAATTAATTATTTTTGTAAAGTAATGCAGCCTTTGTGTGTACATAAAACAATGCCAAAAGGAAAGACTACAAACGTACTAAAAATAGTTTGTAACAATCTGCATTGATTTAGAAGAGCTTCAAAATCTATGCACCTATCATAAGGATGAACTTGTACGTTTTTTGTGGAGTACAACATAATACATAGTCTGGAATGAAAATGCTCCATCCAGGATTGTTATGAATGATAATAATTAATAATAGTAGTAGTAGTAGTAAATGGTATGTATGGGAGTTACATATTATTTAAGCACGCTCGCCACGGATTCGCCGGGCCAGCTGGATATCCTTGGGCATGATTGTTACACGCTTGGCATGGATAGCACACAAGTTGGTGTCTTCAAATAAACCAACCAAGTATGCTTCCGATGCTTCCTGTAAAGCTCCAATCGCTGCACTCTGGAAACGCAGATCGGTTTTGAAATCCTGTGCAATTTCACGAACCAGTCGCTGGAAGGGTAATTTTCTAATCAGCAACTCAGTCGATTTCTGATATCTTCTGATTTCTCGAAGAGCGACAGTACCAGGCCTGAAAATCATTGCATTTTATATATTTTGTGCATTCTTTATATAAGCTGTGTTGTACAATAATTAAAGCAACAAATTATCATGGCAATATAAGTTACTAATACTACAGACAATCTAATTTTCATGAACAACTGACCTGTATCGATGTGGTTTTTTTACACCACCAGTAGATGGGGCACTCTTACGTGCTGCCTTTGTGGCAAGTTGTTTACGAGGTGCTTTACCTCCAGTTGATTTACGAGCTGTTTGCTTAGTACGTGCCATGATTTAAACTGAAACAATATTAATTTAAATTATGGTAAAACTACTTTGAAATGTTTACGTTCAGAATAAATGATTTCTTATCAAAAATATTTCTTGATATTCGCTCCACTTTTCTAAAACTGGCTTGAAATTGTTTATAAAGTCAAAAACAATAATACAATGTATTCATGGTTAACAGAGAATCGTTTATTCCTAACACTAGTATTTATCGAAAATAACCACATTCCAAACACAACGGATCACCATAAACATCACGTTCAAGGAACGCGGGAAAACTATTTTGAAGATTGCCTCGATATTCTGGAGTAAATCAAGCTTCAGAGTGGGAAAAGAAAGATAGTGGGGAAAGTAGAGGTGGGGGTACGGTCCGTTGCTGTTCATACGAAGGAACCGCGCACCGAGGAACGCTGCGCATTGCGCAATGCACAAACTTTCGTTCCTTCTGCATCGACGCGAAAAAAAAATCACGCTAACATGAAAAATATATCATTCTAATTGACACGGTTGTCATACAGCTCGATTATTCTTTTGTTCACAAGATAATCCATCGGCAAATACAACTGAACGAATGACACTGGCGGCGAAACAAGCGGTGAGCGTCGGCTGCGAGAGAGACTTGGGAACGATTCCCTCCACGAACGTCAATTGCAAAATGGAGGCAACACGACAGTACGTTGCGTTCTGATGTAAAAACTTGAATTTTCCAACACTTTTCATTCTTCTTAATGCAACACTACACTCGCCGCGTGTCCGCTAACACTAGTAATTACACGTGACCGATCATGATGTACAATTTCAACGAGTTTACGTACCACTTGAAGGAAAAATTCTACGAGAAACGAGAGCTAGCACTATGCGTTTCCTTGTACTTCGATGGCAGTGGACGCTCTCCCGAGTCACTACTCCCTTGTCCCTACCCCCTAGAAATTAAATCGCGAGAGGCACGTAAGCCCGCGGTGCGGTGCATCCAATCGGATGTCGGATAGCAGCTGAGCCTCATAGTGTAGGGCACGCTATTGGCTCAGCCTCCTACGCCTAGAAGTCGAACCGAGAAGAACACTGTCAATTGTAATATACATGATACTGCTCTCTCAGCAACCTCGTTTTACTTGCAATAATTGCCTTTCCATCGTCATCGAAAATGTTACGGTCGATAGTCGGTTAATCGTGCAAATATTTACAGTCAGAATCGAAGTAGCCAATGAAAATTTCTGTTATAATAATTGACGCTCGAATTTATCTGTTTGTACTTATGTTTACTGAATAGAAATATCGCGTCTTTATTCGTGCAATTCTATTAGCAATGAAATTGATTGTTTGCTGGAAAGTTCCAGAAAATACACGATGCCTGTAAAGTGCAAGAAAAAATCATATGATTACAGCATTCCCGTAGCTGCAAAGTATTCATTTTTTATCATTCTTTACCGAGTATGAAATTCACCGAGCTGGTGAATTGCTGTTTTCAAGATCAAGTATTCTCTCGCGTTTTACAGCCGAAAAAAGTAGACGCCATTGCACGCTTCAACATAAACATTGTGGCGTGCGGATTCAACAGTATTATTTTTGAAACTAAAAAAATTCAATACTGAAGTAGATTCGGTGGATGAAGAATTTTGAAATTGAAGCAATTCAGTAATGTAGATTAAATTATGTCTAAAAGTAGGTCGTGTAAATAAATACTTGTAGCATTGTAGCTACGTAAATATGTGTGCTATATGCGTATTTACGACATCAGAAATAGTAATTTAAGTTAATAGCAAATTTTTTCTCGACTATTCATTATATTAAAATATATGATTAATTAATTATTCAAATTCGTGGAAGAGATGACGTTCCAAATTAGCTACGAAATAAGTGATTCATCCTTATCTTCTTTCCATTTAATAACAAAATTATGACTAATACTGACTAACGATTTCGAAAATTGTTACATTATCAATTACTTTTTTTTTGCTGTACAGATAAAACTTATGCAGCTTTTGACTATTATATATGCAAAATAAATTAAAATACACTCACAATAATAATAAATTTTGCTCATTATTAGAATTGGACATTTTATGTACACTTATGTAAAGACACAGATTAATAAAGATTACCTGTACCGAATAATGTATTTCAAAATTTTATATTTTAATACATTTATGAAAAGAAATGTACATCTTCTGTTATGAATTCAAGTTACGTTTATTACAAATTTCTATACATCAATTAAAAAAGGCTGTAAACTATTGATTACTCTTATTATTATACTTACTAAAATAATAACACATTAATCGAGATTGATCTATACTTTCATGGTCACAGATTCTTTAATTCAAATAAAATGTGACATGAAATATAAATGCAAACCAATTCTGATACTTCGACAATGCAAATACAACTACGACGAATAAGTCTACGGCACTTTTAGTATATAATTCTATAACATTATAATTTCCTAGTTTCTAGTACGAAGTGGTATAGTGTTATTTGGATCTACTTAAACGTGAGATTCATTTTACAAAACACTTTAAATTCAGTCTATTGTAAAATAAGTTCATTCAATAATAAAAAGAACAGTACTAATGATAAAGGAAACACAGTAGTGAGAGTAACTAACTTCTTCTGCAAATATATTAATTCTACATACATTTAATTGCTTTCATGTCACCCATTTTACTTATTGCAATATACAAAGAGAAAGTATTAATTACGCAAAGTGTTCTTACTATCTGTTATGAACTACATACTCTGATCTGTGCCTTTTTCTATTTCTCTATTACTAAATCATAAACATGTTCGACTATCCTACGAAATATATTTAATAGATATACTTTATCTCCCGCATCCTATCTTTCAAAGAGCTTGGCAGTGTCAATTAGAGTAATGATTTATGAAAACAACACAACTATAATGAATTTGATAGCGTGTGAGAACGTCCAAAAATGTGACAAGAATGAACTTGATTAAAGAAACAGTTAAAAATTCTGAGTTATAGAATGCTTAAGCACGTTCACCGCGAATTCGTCTCGCTAGCTGAATATCTTTAGGCATAATTGTGACACGTTTTGCATGAATTGCACACAAGTTTGTGTCTTCGAACAACCCGACCAAATAAGCTTCCGAAGCTTCTTGTAAAGCTCCAATCGCTGCACTCTGGAAACGCAGATCGGTTTTGAAATCCTGTGCAATTTCACGAACCAGTCGCTGGAATGGCAATTTTCTAATCAATAATTCAGTGGACTTCTGATATCTTCTGATTTCTCTCAGCGCCACAGTACCAGGCCTGCAGTACAATTAATAATAATTAGATTTCCAATAATACCTTATGACAATGCTGTATATTCAAATTCTAAAAAATATTTTTACCTGTAACGATGAGGTTTCTTTACACCACCCGTAGAAGGTGCGCTTTTACGCGCAGCTTTGGTTGCAAGTTGTTTTCTAGGAGCTTTACCTCCAGTGGATTTACGAGCGGTTTGCTTAGTACGCGCCATATCTACAAAAGTCCGCTACAACAATTGTGAAAAAAATTGTGAGAATATTGTAAATTGTACATATCATTAGCTTTTCATAAGTACGTAAACTACATAAAAAAAATAAACAAATGAACAAAATCAATGTTGTTACGAAATTAAGAAATATTGTAATTTTACAATTGATCGTATACACGCTTAGGTATACACTAAATCAATAAGTACATAATAAATTACAATTAACGTAAAATAAACTACGGTTTCCCTCCAAAAGCGAAGACAATAAACAAAATGGTGGATAGTATGCTTGTGATTCTGTTGCGAGTACGAATTTTATACATCACGAAAACTACCGTACTTTCCGTTGAAATGTATAAAATTAGTTGTAATTCATCAAGGCGAACATCAACATTGACATAATTTATATATATTTGATTACAAAAGATAGTTAAACGTACCTAACGATTAGCCGCTTTAAAAGAGAATCACCTCCCGTACAAGCTGTTTCGTGCGATGATGTTAACTGATGTCTGTCGGTTAATGTTTTTAAAGAAACGTAGTTTGGTCCTATAGAAGATGGGCGACAGCATTGCACTCAGATACACATCACGGGATTGGCCGTCGTTTCGTAACACCGATTCTGATTAGTCAGATTTCTACGAATAAACGTGTTTGTTATGGACTTTACAAGTTAACTGAGATTTTAGTAAAACGCAATACATTGATTACCATTACCAGTTTCACCTACCAATAATACAGGATATGAATCTAAGTTATATATACTTTTTCTTTCTAAGAAAAATGAAAGCAAATATTCAGGTTGTGTTGTACGGAATTCTAACGAATAGAAGTGCACCCTGAAGTTAGCACGAAATAATTTTATACATTGCATATTGATCGTGTGCAGAAAGTACACGTGTGCACATACATATGTATATTTTTATTTATATGTTTGTATATATTATATGTATATATGAATGTGTGTATATTATGTGTGTCACGCGCGTGTGTATACACATGCACATATCTGAATATAGTAGTGTATACTTTATTGAAAATAACTAAAACTACATAATAATAATGCAACAATAAAGTCTAATATGAAAAGAACATTTACATTTTACACATGGATAATTCATAGATATTTCTCGGTAGAAAATGACATCTATAATGATGACCATTAAGTTAAAACAGACACAAATATCTACAGTCTTTTGGAATCAATGAATGACAAGAAAAATTGTAAATTATAACAAAGAATATAATACATCGGTTAAATAATTTAAAAATAATGTTAATAAATGCGATAAAACTAAATGAAGAATTAGTTTGTTAACATGATGATGCACAAGTTATTAATATAGTTTATTTTTCAAATGATCAATTTTATTAATTTACAATATTCATCTTTATAATCCACTACCTAGTAATAGCATAAGAAGCAATAATGAACATTCGTTCTACAAATTACGC